AAATAATGTGATAATAAATATATATATACATGTCTTTGAACTCATCTTATGACTTCTTATGCAGCAAAAACTGCAACTAATTGTAAAATGTCTTTTCGTAACACTAATTTGATCAAAATAGTGATTTTAATCAGACTTTATTCTTCTCAGTTAGGATGCTATTCGCCTTTACAGTTGTTTTGCTGCATGAGCCTCTTAGTGTCTGTTTCCATCAGTTCAAAGACATCTTCACTCTTTCCTTTAGAACATGCTGGTGTTAAAAAAAAGAGTCCCGGACCATGATACTACCACCGTCTTCTACCACAAATGAGATGGATTTCTGTTTTCATGATGATGAACCTTATATCCACCATTGGGGTGATCTTTATTGGTCAGTTATCTCTTAAGAAAGTAACAAGGTTCATACATGTCCTTATAATGTTCTGACTGCAAAGGGAGCCTACACGTTTTCAATGTCAAATCAAAGAGCCTGTTTTTTTTTCACTAAGTTTATATCAAGTTACCATTTATTRGATTAGTTATCAAAATAGAAAATAGATTAAAACTTCCTAGAATAGTGTGTTCTTTTGTTATCATTGACACCTGGTTATCTCATCAAGATTTTCATTTTTTGGAGAGAAAGAACATTTTAAGGGTTACAAACTTAACTGAACTCTGCTTGCAGACAAGAATGCACTGGTTTTGTTTATTCTACTAAAACCATATTTTCTTGACATAATAGGTCAAAATCCATGGCTGAACCTTTTTTAATAATCATAATAAATGAAATACATTCACCATTTTTCATGAAACACAAAAGCATTTTACACAAGGGAYCAGTCAAAAAGTAATAGACTGACTGACTAGACAAGAAAAATAAAATAACAATAAAACAAGAGAGACTAAGGGAGAAATAATTAGTTTTATTTTTTTTACTCTACAAGATGAACTGTTGTAAATATCAACAGGAAGCACATCCCAGAAAGTTGGGGCTGCAACTCTGAAAAGTCTGGTTTACTCAAAGTTTCTTTCAGGCAGATGATCAGGTATAGAAGGAGGGATGCTGACAGATCTGAGTATCATCTGCATACGAGTTAAATTTGACTTCATGGCAGTCTCAAAACATCTGGGGATAATCAATTAGATGTAATGCCTTTTTTCATCTGGGAACAGTTGGATTTAAGCATGAAATGTTTGGAAAACGATCAGTCAGAATATGAACCTGACTTTATCTATAGCATCACCATGACATTTCATCACTATGGTTTGTAGTGATTAGTGTTCAAGCCTGATGCACAGAATGTACCTGTCCAGTCCAGTTCTGGCTCACCACAGCTGCTCTGAAGTGTCATTTGTTCATGGCACCAAACAGACACACTAATAGCAAATAAACAACACAATCAATAACACTATTTGTGTATTCAGCTAAGTGTTTATGTTATTGAGGCGGTCGATAACCTTGCTGATGGGATTGTGGATGGTTGCACTTTTGTTGTTTTGTTGATGTCCTTTTATTACAGCAGATTAGACCGACAACTACAGATCTCTGATCGTAAGTTTAGCCACAGCAGTAGGTGTGTCCTGCTGCTGTAGATGCTCTTTTTGGACCAGTAAATTGTCGTTTATCCTATTTGTTTCCAGGAACGTTCTGGTGCAATTACAAGGAAATTCGTCTCTGGTGAGTTGTTATCAGTGCCGCCCATGTTTGTGAGCTACAGGTGGAAGGGAGGCGATATCTGCTGACCCAGTTTCCTGCCTGAGGCTGCAGGCGAACACTGTAGTACAGTGTTCTTCACTTTTTTTTCACCACCTGAGACTTTCACCTAAATCTCACAGATCAGCATGACATAAAATAGCGAAGTTTCCCAGCCTGAGCAGACTCTACCAGAGGGCTTGGGTATTTCTAAACTTAACAGATTTAACGGCTGTGCAGCAGCTCGACTAATGTGAATGAAAATCAATAACAGTTTTAGATGAGTGGATCAGTTTCCRCCATAACTCAAGATTACCTTGTTTATCATCTGTTTACCAGTTCTGGAATTTTGGTTTTCATTAAACGATTCTTATTGGTTCAGCTGATCAAGATCTGTTCACGATACCAAAGGGGCCTTGCAGACCTATATTGCAAGAACTTTTCCATCTCTAATTTTGTTATATTAGAGATGAAAAACTAACTCTGGAGTGTGTGTGTGTGTGTGTGTGTGTGTGTGTGTGTGTGTGTGTGTGTGTGTGTGTGTGTG